TACAGACCACAGCTGGAAAGGTGGCTGGCATTTGGTTTAAGGTCTGTAGATACACAGACCACAGCTGGAAAGGTGGCTGGCATTTGGTTTAAGGTCTGTAGATATACAGACCACAGCTGGAAAGGTGGCTGGCATTTGGTTTAAGTTCTGTAGATACACAGACCACAGCTGGAAAGGTGGCTGGCATTTCATTTCCCCTGTACTAGGGCCTTCGTCTCCTTCCAGCTGAGCTGCTGTCTGTCTGCTCACTTCCCCGCGGGCCACATGGGCCTGCAGGTAGCCAACTCCTGAAGCTTTTATCTGGGAATGTCTTTTTTTGTTGTTTTTTGGAGACAGGGTCTTGCTCTGTCATGCAGGCTGGAGTGCAGTGGTACCACCTCAGCTCACTGCAACCTCCGCTTCCCAGGTTCAAGCAATTCTCCTGCCTCAGCCTCCCGAGTAGGTGGGACTACAGGTACACACCACCACACCCAGCTAGTTTTTTGTGTGTGTTTTTAGTGTAGACACGGGGGTCTCACATTGTTGCCCGTACTGGTCTCGTACTCCTGGCCTCAAGCGATCTTCCCGCCCTGGCCTCCCAAAGTGCTGAGATGACAGGTGTGAGCCACGATACCAAGCCTGAACTCTCATTTTTAAAGGGCTGTTAGAATTCTCGGTTTTGTCAGTTTCTTCCATTGAATGGGACCTGTTTTCCTGTTTCTTTGAACATCTTGTGCTTTTTGTTAAAAACTGGTCCTTTGAAAACAGACTCTGCCAGTCTTTGCAAACAGGTTCTGTGCACGGAGCCTGGGGATCAGTGTGAGTCTCTTCCAGGGCCGGCGCATCTCTTCCGGCTCTCGGGCAAGTGCTTCAGCCTGGTGGAGTCCACGTGAGTGCAGGGGGGGTGCGAGGGTGGGCTGGGGCGCAGCCTGGGGACCCCCCTCATGCCACCTGTGTCCCCAGGTACAAGTACGAGTTCTGCCCATTCCACAACGTGACCCAGCACGAGCAGACCTTCCGCTGGAACGCCTACAGCGGGGTCCTCGGGTGAGCGGGGCCGGGCCAGGGATCCCAAAGCAGCAGCGCGGCTCCCCTGCCCGGCCTCATGGGCCGTGTCCGTGTCCCCGCAGCATCTGGCACGAGTGGGAGATCGCCAACAACACCTTCACGGGCATGTGGATGAGGGATGGTGACGCCTGCCGTTCCCGGAGCCGGCAGAGCAAGGTGGGGCCTCAGACGGGAGCCCGGGACGAGGGGCCCCAGCCTCTGCAACACACCCACCGGCGTGCCCTCCCCAGGTGGAGCTGGCGTGTGGAAAAAGCAACCGGCTGGCCCACGTCTCCGAGCCGAGCACCTGTGTCTATGCACTGACGTTCGAGACCCCCCTCGTCTGCCACCCCCACGCCTTGCTAGGTAGGGGTGCGGGACGCAGTGGGGGCCGGTGGGGTCAGCCATGCATGTAGCCCTGCAGTGGTGGGGGCCAGGGTTGGGACATGGAGCACAACTGAGTCTGGCTTCTCTTGGGCCCTCAGTGTACCCGACCCTGCCAGAGGCCCTCCAGCGGCGGTGGGACCAGGTGGAGCAGGACCTGGCCGACAAGCTGATCACCGCCCAGGTAAGCATATGCTCGGGGTTGCCCCTGGCGGGCCCGGCTGGGAGCTGGGTGCTGCCCCTGCATCCTCCATCTTCAGGGCCATGAGAAGTTGCTGCGGACACTGTTTGAGGACGCTGGCTACTTCAAGGCCCCAGAAGAAAACGAACCCACCCAGCTGGAGGGAGGTCCTGACAGCTTGGGGCTGGAGACCCTGGAAAACTGCAGAAAGGTGCCGTACCGGGGGGAGGTGGCAGCACACAGTAGCCTCCCGCCCCACCCCCACCCCAGCCTTTCCCTTGAACTTCGTGTTGTAGGCTCATAAAGAACTGTCAAAGGAGATCAGAAGGCTAAAAGGTTTGCTCACCCAGCACGGCATCCCCTATGTGAGGCCCACAGGTAAGTCACCTGTGGGGAGGGGCCAGGCCACCATTGCACCCACCACCTGTGGGTCCAGGTGAGGACCGGCCATCTGGTGTTTTGGCAGAAACTTCCAGCTTGGAGCACTTGGGCCACACGACAGCCAGAGCCAAGCCTCCAGAGCGGCTGCGGGGTGACCCAGGACTGCGTGGGAGTTTGTGACCCTATGGTGGGAAGGCAGAGGTGGACACGGCCGAGAGCCCTGGAGATTGGCTGGTAGGACCCCCAGGGACCAGCTGGCCAGGCTTGTGCTCAGAGAAGCAGACAAAACAAAGATTCAAGGTTTTAATTAATTCCCATACTGATAAAAATAATTCCATGAATTCTGTAAACCATTGCATAAATGCTATAGTGTAAAAAAATTTAACAAGTGTTAAACAGTTCACTACAAGTAAATGATTATAAATCCTACCTTCCGGGTTAAAACTCCACTCAAACAACACTCTCATCTAAATACTCAAACATACAGATCGAGGCTTCCAGAAATGAATCCACATGACGCGTCCACACGGAACAAGGTCTGCTGACCACAGTTACACACGTCACTGTTTCACGGCTAATGTTGAACACTACAGTTACAGACGACAGGCAACAAGCACACACAGAACCGGCCACCACCCGGCTCCTATGTCCAGTGCCGGCCATGGCCACAGGTGGGAGCCGCTGGGCCCGCCTCCACGGGGCACCTTCCAGCCACTGCTGTGTGCCTCGGCCACCGAGACGGGTGAGGAAGGCCCAGGGCGGGCAGCCCCAGGGTCTTGCCTCCATTTCCAATCCTGGCAGCACGGCCAGCCATTCTTTGGTCTTCCCACTGCTCACCTGTCCTCAGAGCCAGCACAAATATGGGGGAGCAGGTGTCTCCGCCGTCCCCCAACCCCTGGGGCTCCCAGCTCCACCACCCCAGAAGCTGATCCATGGAGATGCCCTGAGGGGCAGCCGCCACGTTGTTCCCAGAAAGAGCAGAGCAGCCGGCAGACTAGCGCTCAGCTGCTCCCGACAACCGGGAGACGTCTGGGCAGACACCATATCCCAGAAAAGACCAGAGGCCCGAAATGGGAACCAAGTGCATAAATAATAAAAACAGAGGATTTTACACATTGATGACAGTAGCACAAAATATACGTAATTTCTAGATACTGAGCTAATAAATCATCACTATAATTAAAAACAAAATAGATTCACTAAAACCAAGTCGATAGTTACCTGGAGTAGTGGACTAGCTGCAGAATGTCACGGATCCACTTCCTTTAAAATGATAGAATGTTGCTATCAGTTTGTCTTACGTTAAAAAAGTTCTTAAACCTCCTACTGTATTAAATACATTCTAATTTGGTCACTGATAAAAATTTTTTACCTAGACGTTTTGCACTTTTAAAAAATGCTATTAAAAGTCTTTGGCAAAGCCACGGGCAGGGAGGAACACGTCGATGCTGCTGCCTGCTCTTGTGCCCTCACAACCCACATGGCCCACAGAGAGCCAGGTCGCCGTAAATCACAGACGCCTGTTCCTGCTCCTCAACTCCTAGGGACAGTCCCAGCCCTGAGCAGAAGGGTCAGGTCATCGCGGGAACGCGTTCTCAGTCGCGTTTCTGCTGCGGCCGGAAGCCACTCTGTCGCTCCGGGGCAGACAGGCCAGGGGACGCAGCAGAGCCGGGACCTTGGGGGGCCACTTCCCCCGTGTGCTCCAGGCCACTAAGAGGCTGTGACTGAGTCCTGGTGTGACCTCGCTGGCCACATGGATGAGCTCCGATACTAACTGGCAGTACAGGTCAGGTGACTCTCATACACCCGGCACCCTGGCGCACACCACGGCTCGAGCGTCTCCCACACAAGCAGGACAGGGGTGGCCACGGGCTGGGGAGCCAGCCACTCTCCTAGTTCACTGCCTGACCCCCACCAGGACGCCCAGCGATGTCTCCAAGGAGCTACAAAGCACCATTGCCTAGGACAGATCTAAGTAATCAGAAGACAGCTTTTTTTTTTTTTTTGAGCCGGAGTCTCACTCTGTCACCCAGGCTGGAGTGCAGTGGCATGATCTCGGCTCACTGCAACCTCTGCCTCCCGGGTTCAAGCGATTCTCCTACCTCAGCCCCCCGAGTAGCTGGGACTACAGGCGCCGCCACCACGCCCGGCTAATTTTTGTATTTTTAGTAGAGACGGGGTTTCACCATGTTAGCCAGGATGGTCTCAAACTCCTGACCTTAGGTGATCCACCCGCCTCAGCCTCCCGAAGTGCTGGGATCACAGGCGTGAGCCACCGTGCCCGACCAGAAGACAGCTGCTTAAAAAAGTAATTCTAAAACCTCTGATGTCTGATCCCTTCTGCTGCATTTTTCGTTAGTACCAAACTGTCTTTCAGAGGTTCAAGGGAGAAAACAAAACCAATGATGTTCCTTCACTTGTTTAGCAAGGCACAGGCGCATAGGAAAAGTGGCCACGGATCAGAGAAATGCAGGGCGGAGCTCTCCTGCTCCCACGTCACGAGGCTGGAATATCAACCCTAGTGCCTTGTGCGCACACAGGCTCGGGAAAACGAGCTCCTTCCATCAAGTTAAAACATCTAAATCCATAATCACTCTGCTTATAAATACTATGCACTTAATGGGAAAATGTAAAAATCCTAGGTCTTACTACTAGATAAACGCTCATTTCATAAGTACTAGTTTCAGAATATGAAATCTAATATATTCAGCATACTATGAATTGACAATAAACTGATATGAAATATTTAAGTTCACAGTACACATATAAAGCTTCATATTATCGCATATTTAAAAAACAACATAGAAAGCAGCTTAGAGCAATTTATAACCTCTAAATTCCTCGGTTTACAAAGTGCTTTGAAAGACCCCAGCTCCCAGTGGTCCAGTCACAGGAGTGTCAGGACCACAAACTGCTGTGATCACAGCGCCACGCGGACCCCTGAGGCACCAGGCCCCTCGAGGACAGGCAGGCGGGTTCTGTGGGTTTGCCTTTAAGGTTTTTGAGGAAAATACCTTGAAACCGTTGGTAGGACTAGATAGGTGACAACGTGTGACAGGAAAGCTGTCCGGCCGAGCCCAGGCGGGGGCTCCCAGCCTCATGATAACGGCTGAGCGCGGGCGGGGCTCCCAGCCTCGGTCCTCACATCGGTGGCACCAGAGGTGAGTGACGATGTGTCTGTGGTTATGAGCACTGGAGCCAGGGTGCCCAGCAGGAGGTGGCTGTCCCCGCTGAGGTCACCACCGCAGGGGCTGGCCCTTGCAGTAGGGGCACTCGGGTGCGGCGGCCGCACACGGCTCACAGAGGACGCGGTGCTGGCAGGGCCGCAGGACGGCACCATGGGCCCGCTCCCGGCAGGCCACGCACTGCTTGGCGCGGAGCTGGAAGATCACCTGCAGGGCCAGAACAGTAACGGGGTCAGGAGGCCCCTGCCCAGGCTGGACCAGCTGGGGAGCCGCAGGGCCTTCTGGGCAGGACTCGGCATCTCAGGCCACCCGGCCACCAGCTACAGAGACAGGGTCAGGGAGATGCCCCCAGCCAGGGCCACCTCAGGGAGAAGGCAGCTGCGGGGTGGCGGGAATGCTCTGTCTCGAGCCCTGGGCAGAGGACGGCCCCCGGGGGCCACCACAGACACGGCAGTGGCCGGACAGGACAGGCCCCTGAGGGCCCTGGCGGCTGGGTGCCCAGGATGTGAGCTACGCAGGACACACTGGCCCAGAGCAGTTAGGCCGAGAGGCCACCCTTCACAGGCGAGGTGAGGAGAGACATGCTGAAGTGGAGGGAGCATGTGTGAGGGTTGCAGCTGTGAACAGGGAGGGATGGGGCCGCCTTCCCTGTGGAGGGTGCAGCCTGGCATTCGCTGGTAAGAGGGAGGGGTGAAAGGGCAAGGGCCAGCCTGACAGGAGAGGCGGCTCCCAGGGAGACAGGCAAGGAGGTCTCAGGGGGTCTGTGCTGGGGCGGGGCACCGTCCCCTCCTCCCCAGGCCCAGAGCAGACCCGAGGGGCAGGGGGGGAAGGGACACCGCACCAGCCAGGGCCCTCCCCAGACAGGGACAGCAGCCCTGCAGACAGGCTAGCCCTCACCCCGCCCCGAGCAGGACTCACGCCATCCACCGCCTCCAGGTCCAGGCGCAGCTGACTCTGCAGCGAGTGCAGCTTAGGCAGGGGAATGGTGCCGATGTCCCCGCAGCCCCGCAGCCCCGGCAGTGTGGAGGCTACGCCCAGGCCCTCCAGCTCCTCCTGCAGCTGCTTCACCTGCGCCTCCACCTCCTCCTTCTTCTGCAGCGCCAGCTGCCGGTCACTGTCGGCCACGCGGGCACGTTCCTTGGCCTCCTGTGCCTCTCGCTGCCAGGCATCGCAGACCTGAAACCCAGGGCCCGTGCAGGAGGCAGCCAGAGCCCATCTCAGCCCCTCCCACCTCACCTATGCCACCTGCAGACCCCATTGCCCGTGTCACCTGCGATCCTCCCTCCCGTCCCCCACCACCTGTGGCCCCCTCACCTGAGTCCCCTGCG